GTTGATTTGGCGTCTTAGCCACAGCAGGATCCTGTGGTGCATGCTGTTCCACAACCCCTGCCCATTCTATTATATTCTAACTCTTTCATGACCCGTGGGACATATATCACCCACAGATATCTTCAGCCTCTCAGGTTTGTTGGAAAACTGCAATTCTAGCTGTGGTTACATGCTGCCACTAGGTTGGTTCGTTGGTTATGTGCCATGGAGTCGGTTCTGACTCATAGCAACCCTGTACAGGGTTTCCGAGGCTGTAAATCTTTACGGGAGCAGAAAGCCTCATCTTCTCCCGCAGAACAGTTGGTAGTTTCGAACTGCTGACCTTGAGGTTCACAGCCCAATTCGTAGCCACTACACTACCAGAGCTCCTTTGCCACTAGGTGGAGACCTGTAAAACTATGTGAATCTGAAGAAGTGAGTCTCACCTTACCAATGCTGACACCAGAGTCCTCTTGGGACATATGTGTTCCACATAATTATATCAAAACCGTATTACCTCAAAAAAAGTCCCCCCTTGATTTCAGCACGCCTTATGAGTCAGGATCAACTTTATGGCAGCACCTTTGACTCTGGCGTTTCCATTACTGAAAACACATTACATCAACAAAAATTTCAAAGCAGAAATGAATTTGGTCATGAAAGCGTTCATTTTCTTATAGCTGGACAAGAGCTGGACAGTGGCTCTTGGGATGGGAAGACGTGTGTGTGTAGGGAAACCTGAGCAAATCATAGTTTGTCAAGCCAAGCAAACTTCCATGAGTCCTGGGAATGGGATTGACAGACGTAGCGAATAAAAGTAGGGCATGCCCAGATAAATGTGAATTTCAGATGAACAACAGAAAATGTTTTAGGAGGTGTATGGTCCATAAACTACTTAGGGTCTATGTAACTTAAAAGCTATTCATTGTTTATCTGAAATTCATACTTAGTTGGATGCCCAGTGTTTCCTCTAGCAACCCTACTTGGAAGGTAGAGAAAGAGGTCAGGGATGGATTATCCAAAAATAAGGTATACATGGGCTTCATTGTGCTTATTACTAATCTGTAGTGAACCACTTTGTGTATGGTGAAGCTGTTCATTACTGATCAGTGTACCCTCTTTATAAGCTGGTGCATACTGTGCTTACTGGTGAACCTGCCCCTGGATGGAGGCTGTGGCTATTTCATGTGGCAGACGAGGAACACCACTGTTGATGCCCACATTGGGTAGGAACCTGGCTAAATCTCCCAGTCAGATGCAGGTAATGTGCATCAGCGAGATCTTTACTACAGCCCTGTGTAGTCTAGCAGGCATGACTGGGCCTGATTCATTTCACAAAGTGACCTTCAGACCAGTCCCTAAGCCTAAGAGCATGGGTTCTAAGTCAACCCAGAGGTCAATCCTGGTTCCACTGCTGGATGCTTAAGTGAGTGTAAACTCTCCATTCCTCTAAAATGAAGAATACCTACCACAAATTTTCTTTTGAGAAATAAATAAGGTACTCTATGAAAAACCCTTTGTACAATAGTGATGGCTAGTGTACCGATAATTCTGATTTAAGAGCATTAAAGATTAATCATTCAAGTGAAAAAAAGTGGAGTTAAAGGCTAGAGCCAGTACAATCTCAACAACATAAAACACACAAACATAGTTAAGCCTAAAGGAGGCATTCTGAAATGTTACCAGTGGCTGTTTGTGATTAGTGTTAGTAAGGCTCCCCTCTCTTTGTGTCCCCAAATCTACGCTGAGCATGTATTACTTTAATATTAAGTATTTATTTAAAATAATTTGGGATGGCATTTTTCTAAAAATGTTTTAGTACATGGCATATGACTTGGCACTACTTGAATGAAGAGGACTGCTATCTTGGACTTGGTTCTATAATCCATTCCTTGGGGGCAGCAAAGAGAGGGGGTGCCCACCCTTTCATGCATTGGCCCAGCTGACTTCCCACCCTGCACTCTCACTTCCTGTTCCTCCTTGTGTGAGACAGCCAGTAATGATTCCAGAGGGTCATGGTGCTGGGTTTGAATCTTAGCTCCATCCCAACTAGCTGTGTGAGCTTGAACAAGTCATGTGACCTTCTCAGTATTGGTTTTCTTGTGCTTGAACTAGGCAGTCAATACTACTTACCTCCCTGAGAGGAGGAACATGTCTGTTTTACTTATCACTACTATTCCTAGGCCTCCCCCAGGGCCTGGTCCACAGTAACAAAAATAAACAGAAAGTTGGCTCTGAGTTGCTTCTGACTTATGGTGACCCTGTGTGTGACCCAGTAGAACTGTTCTCCATGTATTTTTGAACGGCTATGATCTTTTGGAAGTAGAGTCCCATTCTGAATCATCTCTGGGTGGTCTTGAACCACTAACCTTTCAGTTAGTAGTCCAATGCTTAATCACATGCATCATTCCTAGTGCATAACCAAAACAAAAAGTCAAATATAAAACCCACTGCTGTTAAGTGCATTCTGCTCATAGTGACCCTTATAGGACACAGTGGAACAGCTTTTGAGGATTTCCAAGACTATAAATGTTTATAGGAGCAGAAAACCTCATCTTTCTCCTGTAGAATGGCTGGTGGATTTGAACTGCTGACCTTGTAGTTAGTAGCCTACTACTTAACCCACTATGACACCAGAGTTCCTTAATGCATAACCAAAACAAAATGAAAAGCAAACTGACTTGGAGTTGATACTGACTCATACCTACTTTGTATCAGTATGTTTATGAAACTAAATCTTTATGGGAGTGTGGTTAATACATACTAACTGAATGAATAAATGAGTCAGGGAAGTGGTAAGAAGCAAGCATTTGGCAGAGAGAATAGCAGTAACAAGTGAGCCACAATCATTTGCCATTATTATGACTACCTCAGAAGGCATACAGATTTTGCTATAAAGGGACCTATGTTTAAATATCTTTTCTACTCATTTACTGGAATAGGAAAGACCCCTTAGCAACACTCTGGGCAAACTTCTTAACTCTCTGAATTTCAGTTTCTCCTCTGGGAAATGGGGATGACAATTAGTAACAACCTGGTAGGGCTGTGAGGATTGCCTGAACTAATTAATGCACAGTACGTAGCACATAATAAGTGCTCTGAAAAGGAAGCACCTGTCAAAGACCTCGCTCCCTTCCTGGCTTGGACCTGTGCGGATGCAGTTACAAAGGAGAATGAGATGACTCTCAGGTGTGGGGATTCTGAATGGGTTGGAAGCAGGACTTAGAACAGGCTCATTGTAATTCCACTCTCTGCTGAGAATTTGCATTTCCACTCCAGGTGATTCTAATGTATACCTATTACTCTTATCTCAGAGCCTACTTGCAGCTAAAAAAAACGGTACCTTTTGAGTGAAACTCAAAGCTGACACTCCAAGTCAGAGAGAGCCCAAGGTCTGCAGTTTTCTGAGAAGATCATAACTGGATGATGGCACTCAAAAAGAGTGCTTTGTGGGGACATCACTGGAGCTGGGATTTGGAACCAGATTCATCTGATTATACTGCCCCCCTCCCTTTCTCTGGGCTCAGGCAGGCTTAAGACCCTCCCCTAGGAAGGCTTCCCCAGTCCCCAGTTATTACTTTCACAAGTAAAAAAAACAAAGTTTTCAACCAGTAACTTGGCGTCTAAGTAAGAAAGGCAACCATTCTGGGCGCCGATGAGGTTCGCGCTGGGGGCGGCACCATTGCTGCAGATACGCAGCCGTGGGCTCGCCAGGGCTCCCACCGCTCAGGTCCTCGCGGAACTGCAGTGGGGAAACCCCACGGGGCCGGCACCTCGCTTAGGCCTGTTTAGCCCAAGTCTCCTGAGTCTTTCTCGTTACATACCCACAACTGGCAGGAGCTCAGGCACAAAACCGATTTTCACCTTCCCCAGTACTGCTGTGGCGCTGCGGTGTTAATGCGCTGGACTTCAAGGTCAGTTTGAACCGTAAAGTCCGTGGTTCAAGCTCACCAATTGCTCCTCGGAACCCCATATGGGGACACTATGAGTCCAAACCGACTCGACGGCACTTAACAACAACAACAAACCTCTTAATACAACCAAGAAGTCTGGAAGGAAAACTCCCCCAAAGCTCACCGCGGACATTCTTTTTTTTCTTTCTATATCCCTGTATTTTGCAAATTATTTTCGAAACTGGCGAATATGATTTTTGTTTCATTTTCCTAAATGATAAGTCTTATTTCTTGAGTGGAGACTAGTGCATGCTCCCTGCAAACGCGCAAAACAGAGACAGAAAAAATAGTGTAAAACCACCTGTCATCCTGTCTGGGGCCTCAAAAACAACTTCTGTATGTTTCCTTCCAAATCAGCTGTTTACCAGAGACTGTCGCTAACTTCCCTGTACCTTGCTCCCCAGTATATATTATTTTATCCCTTATTGCTCCCGGGACATCACGAAGTTCTTAAAGGACATTCCTGTCTTGTGCTTCCTAGATCCCCACTGGTACTACCTTGGTCCTGCCCATTTCCTCGCTCTCCTGCCCCCTAACTTCCAGCGGTCAAACTCGCGCCCTGGTAAATCTCTGCTTAAGAGACCCGCCATAGGGTGGAACCTCCCACAACTTTTTAATCAGGACAGTGTCTCTCTCTCTGTGGGTGTACTCCACATAGGAAGAAAGCAGTGTATCTTAGGGTTGTTATTGTTGTTGTTAAGTGCCATCAAGTCGGTTCCGACTAATAGCAACACTGTATAGGGTTTTCGAGAAGCGGCTGGTGAGTTTGAACCTCTAACCTTGCGGTTCAAAATGACCTACAGCGCCACATAAAAGGAAAAAGTAAGGAGGGAGAAAAGAGGGAAGAGGGAAGACAAGAAGAAAAGGGGGTGGAGGAAAAGTAATAAAGAATGAAAGAGGGGAGGTAAGGAAAATGGAAAGATTCAACCAAGGAAAGAAGCGCAGAGAAGAGGACCAAGAAGTCAGCAGCACACTGGCCAGGGGCTGTGTCCCGTGCGCCCTCCGTGCCCTCCTCACTCCGTCCCTGCAGCAGGAGAGGCGGGGTCCCTGTCGCCTTGCCTCACTTACCAGACCTGAGCAACACAGCCCTGTAGAGCCCGGTGGCCTCGACGGGCCCCCGTGCTCGCTCGCTCAGCCTCTGCGCCATGCAGCCCGCACTCACGCCCAAAGAGCCGGCACTGAAGTAGGCGACCGCACTACCAATTGTAGCTTGAGCCCGAGCGCCTCAGTGGCGGTGACGCGGACCAGCGGCCCAAATCCCGCCGCGGATCAGGTTTCGGTGGCGGCCCGAGGGGCGGACGCCGAGGCGCCGCCACGGGAGGAGGAAGAGGGGCCTGGGCCAGGGCAGGTGTCCCCGCCCAGGCAGCAGGCATGGCTCCTGTGTCTGGCTTGAGGACTTCTAGCACCGGGATCCCAGGGCCAGGACGGAGAACCCCGGTGTCCTGACACCAAGCCTGAGTTTCTCATCTCTTCCCTATTTCACTGGCATTTGGTCTCATTAAATGCTAGAGCTATTTGGAGGAGCCAAGACCAAACCAATTTCCCTTCCACAAAGCATGTGCCCCTAAGAGCATTGTGGTGGTTAAGTGCTGACTCATAGCAACCCTGTATAGGGTTTCCAAAGAGCGGCTAGTGAGCTTGAACGGCTAACTTTGAGGTTCAAAGCGACCTTGCAGTCCAGCGCATTAGCCCCAGAGCCATACCAGGACTTCCCTAGAGAGCATAGACCCCAAGAAAACTGTCCAAGATTTTGCCTGGCTTCTGCCGGAGGCTATGCACCTCACTGGGCTGAGAATTTTGAGTCGAGGGTTGCAGTCTCTCGCCACCACAGTACCAATTCCCTTTGTTTCTGTTTTTTTAACTTTTTATTGTGACCAAAACCCTTTGTCTCATTGTTCCCTCCAACCTCAGAACCTCCTTGACTGTTAACCCAGGTGGTCCTGGCTGCTCCTTGACCACTGCACAAGACCAACTCAGAGAGGTTGCTCCTCAAGACATTATGTGGAGTCCTGAGGACCCACTTGTCAGTTCCAAGTTCAGGGGCCTCACTGATTGGCCAGACTGACTGTATCTCTTTTCCATAACCAGACATCATGAATACCAAGTATGATGCCAGAGATTGGCATTTACCTTAAATCTATTCTACAGAGGAGGATATTATATATATAGCCCCGTTGACAGGTCATCTCATTCAATCCACTGTAGCTCTTGTAACAAACTATGGTGTATGTTCCTTTCTAGAGATGAAGAAAGTCAGGCTCAAGTGACTTGCCCAAGCTCATATACCTGATTAGAAATGGAGTTGGAATTTGCACCCAGAGGGTGCCAAAACTTTTGCTGCAGGGGGAAACCAAGCCACCAGTTGAACAAGGTGAGATTCAGGAAAATTGTGGCTCTGGATTGTGCTTTTGTAGAACACGCTCAAACAATTGCTCCTGGTTGTATCCCCAAGGAGTACTAGGTGGGTCTGACTTACCTGAGCCATCTAGTCTCTGCTTCTCATGTTCACTATGAAATCTGGCCTGAGGGCAATATTCTTTCTGTGAACAGAAAGTAGTAGGAGGTAAGGACCCTCTGTTCCTTGGCAGGGGGCTGGTGACAAGATAGCCATAGTGTTCCTGAGTCTTTTGACCTTGGGAGGAAGTGTTCAGGATCAAAGTCCTCTCCAGAAAATTGAATTATGACTGTCTTTGGAGTGTTGTGTATGTGCTGGAGTGGGGTGTTTACGAGACCCTACGATCTTTTAATTTTTTAAAATGGTGGTTATGTGCTGTGGAGTCAAAACTGACTCATAGTGACCCTGTACAGGGTTTCTGAGGCTGTAAATCTTTACGGGAGCAGAAAGCCTCATCTTTCTCCCGCAAAACAGCTGGTAGTTTCGAACTGCTGACCTTGCTGTTCACAGCCCAATTCATAACCACTACGCTAGAAGGTGCCCTGGTAGTGGCATGGGTACAGTTCTAAACTTATAGAAACCTTCATCAGAAAGTACAGAGGGATCCCTTATGTCCTATACTCAGTCTCCCTTTTTGTTGACCTCTTACAGTATGACAGTACATTTGTTACAAGTAATGGACCAATAGTGATGCATTATTATTAACTAAAGTCCATACTTCATTCAGATTTCTTTATTTTTTACCTAATGACCTTGTTCTGTTCCAGAATCCCATCCAGGACAGCCACATTACATTTACTTGTCATGTCACCTTAGGCCCCTCTTGGATGGGACAGTTTCTCAGATAGTCTTTGTTTTGATGACCTTGTTGGTTATGAGGAAAACTGGGAATGATACTCTTGAGCTATTGCCTAGGCTGTTCCTGCTACCTGGATCACCTTCTCCCTACCCTCCTGGCAAATTCCTCCTCACTCCTTTAGGGCCAGTTAAGAAGGTTTCTGGGTTTGGTCCTCTGGGTCAGCTGTTAGACATCTCTTCTTGTTATACTTCCATGGATTTGAAAACAATTGTAAGCCAATGATTCCTAAATGTGTATCTCCAATCTAGACTTCCCCTCTGAGCTTCAATCTGGTCCAACTGCCTACTTGACCTCTCTCCAGTTCAGACTCTAATTGTTGCTGATTTTGTAAGTTACCATCAAGTTGATTCCAACTCATGGCAGTCCTATGTGTTATAGAGTAGAACGACTCCATAGGGTTTTCTTGGCTGTAATCTAAACAGATACAAGCCCTTTCTCCTGTGGTATTGCTGAGTGAATTTGAATCATCAGCTTTTATGATAGCAGTGTGAAACATTTGCACCACCCAGCCTAATAAGTAAGGTTAGTAGACACGTCCAACGCAACTCTTGACTACCCAGCCCCTAATCTGTTCCTTCCTTGCTGTCCCCAGCAGTGACTCCCCTCTGTCCCTCTTGCTCAGACAGAAACTTAGGGGTCTGCCTTGCATCATCTTCCCTCATTCTCCATAGACCCCATTTTATGAGGAATGGTTAGCCCACCTGCTAGGAAACTTTTGTATCTGTCTACTTTCCCCACCACACCCATGCCACCACCCTAGTTTAGCCACTGCAACTGTATGGCTTTAGGTAGCTGGCCCCCTCCAAGCCACTTTCTCCACAGCATCCAGAGCAATCTTTTAAAATAGAATCCAGACTCTGCTCCTGCCCTTCTCCAGAACCCTCCCTACTACCCTCTGCACTTGGAATGAAACCCACACACCTTCTCCTGGCCTACCAAACAACAACAACAAAACTATTGTCCTTGAGTCATTTCCAACTCACAACAACCCTAAAGTAGAACTGTCCCATAGAGTTTCCAAAGTTATAAATCTTTATGGAAACAAAATGCTACATCTGTCTCCCTCACAGTAACTGGTGGATTCAAACCACCGACCTCTAGGTTGGCCGCTGAGCACCAACCATTGCTCCACCGGGGCTCCTGATCCTGGCCTGCGAGGGGGCCTCTGTTCTCTGGCCCTCCCTGCCATTCTCACATGCATTTGTTCCTTCCAATTTCAAGGATTTAGGGAGGCCTCGGTGAACCAAACAGACCCAGGCCCCTGATCTTGTGGAGCTGACAGTGTAGCAGGGGGATAAAACACACACACACACAAAAGTGTGTGGAAAAAGAAAATGAAAAGGTAATGGGAAATTTCTATGAACTTTATGAAGCCCCCTCATATATAGTATGTTAGAAGACAACAGATACTATGGAAAGAAGGAACAGTGGAATAGCATAGGGGTGCCTTGAGTAGGGTCTCATTTGATAACAAATAGGCTGTTCTGAGGGTCTCACTGGCAAAGGGAGAAATGAGCACAAACTTGAGGGAGGTGGGAAAGTCGATGAAATGGAGAGCTGGGAAAACAGCCAGAGCCAAGTCCTGAGGCTGGAGTGTGCCTGGCATGTCCAGGGAACAGCAAGGAGCCCTGGGGTGGCTGGAAGAAAGGAAGGCTACACAGGGATGATCAGATGAGAAAAGGTCAGCGAGGGGAGGGGCCCCTTTCCTCACACTCACCACTGTGAATTATAACTGCAATTTCCTGGAAGCCATGCTTTCTTGTACTTTGCAGCTTTTACCCAAAGTGTATACTCTTATCTAGAATTCACTTCCCAGTTCTGCCTGGCTAACTCCTTCTCATCCTTTGGGTCTCAGCCAGCATCCACTCTCCTCAGGGACCTTTGGCTTGATTACATGCTTCTACAACGTCCCAGACTTCTCCTATATTCATAGTCACCATGGAACTGTGGTCATTTAGGCCCAGTGTCCTCCACAAGACTATATTCATCTTGAGGGGAGACTGGGTCTTGTTGTCAAGTGTCTCCCCAGGTTCTAGTCTATAGCTGGGCATGGAGTTGATGCCCAATAACAATTTGCTGAATGAATGAATGAATGTGCCCACAAGGGGAGCTCTGGTTTGCATGGGGAAGTGGAGAATTCCACAGGGAGTAAGCCAGGGCCAGAGCCAAAGGAGGCCCCCATCTGCGGTCTTGCCCAGGGACTATCCAGGGTGGACAGAAGAGCTCTCGTTTTGAGATCTGCCACCAAGAAAGGTATAGACAAGGAAGGTATGCAGGTTTGACCAAGTCCCTTTTATGTGTGTGTGTATTTGTTTTATGTGTCAAAAAATACTATTATCATTTAACTGCATTTCCACAAACTTTTAGAAGACCCTTGTATCTTCATTGGTACAGTCTTAATTCACTTTCTCTGCCACACCGGTTCAACCTGGGTGTCTATCCATGCATCTGCCATTTTTTGTTTGTTTGTTTGTTTTTCCTGTCATATTTTGTTTCACTGCAATGATTACAATCCCTTCCATGCATCATCAAACAACCAAAGGGTACACCACACAGGCCCGCCCCTCCCCCCCCCCCCGGCAGCCAGTACACAGCCCTTCTCCCTCCCTGAATCCAGTGTCCCCAGCCGCTTAGTCTCTGTCTCCAACTCTGGCATCACTATCTCTCTGGGTAGGGTCCCGCTCTCCTTGATGGGCCCAGGAACCTCTGCTCCTGTGCTGCAAAATCACTCTCCTCCTTTTGTCAAAAAACATGTACCTCTATATTTACTCCCTTCACAGTCAGTCCTGATGGCAATTATTCACTATTGTATCACAAGAGTCTTATCTCCATTTCCTTTCCCCAGCCCGGTCCCAACAGATTGAAAATCATTCAGTGGTGATTCTACCTTCCC